CTTATCCCTTTACTACCTCTCCTTTCCTTTTCAGTTGCTCTTATCTGGAATGCTGCACAAGCATCTACCTAAATACTACTATTTCAAGGGCCAGGACAACTCCTATCTCTTTACTATAGGACAGTCTTCTCTTACTATTCTACTCTACGGTAATATAGGCTCTGAACTTCTCTAGCCTTTATCATGCATTTGGCTCTAATCTTTTTGTTGTTTAATACTGCCAATTAGCTTTTCACATTTTTTACATCTTCCAGTTAGATTGACTGTAAGCTTTTTTTTTTTTGAGATGGAATTTTGCTCTTGTTGCCCAGGCTGGAGTGCAATGGTGTGATCTTGGCTTGCTGCAACCTCTGCCTCCAGGGTTCAAGTGATTCTCCTGCTTCAGTCTCTTCAGTAGCTGGGATTACAGGTGCCCGCCACCATGCCCAGCTAATTTTTGTATTTTTAGTAGAGACAGGGTTTTACCACCCTGGCCAAGCTGGTCTCAAACTCCTGACCTCAGGTGATCTGCCTGCCTTAGCCTCCCAAAGTGCTGGGATTAAGGCATGAGCCACTGTGCCCAGCATGATTGCAAGTTCCTTAAAGACAGATTCCTTTATTCTGTTTTTCCTGTATTCCTCATGCATCTACATAGCAGATGCTTTAAATGTCTTGGTTTTGAAAAGTAACATGGTCAATCCCCTATAACCCAACATACATATTTAATATTCTTTAAAGCTTTTTCCAGAACCAGTCTGGTATAAATATAGGTATTCTGCTAGCCCAATACATTTTTTGAGTGTTTGTTATCAGAACTCATCAGCTGACTCTGTGTCCTAGCCACAGGACTGCAGTTGTTCATCCTGTGGGAATTCAATTTCAACGTCATAAACAAAATTTGGATCATCCTTCTTCTTCTGATTTTTCTCAAACAGTTCATCCATGACGCTCTTCCTTCTGGCAAGCTCCTTGTCGTCTAGCTTGTTCAGATCTTCCTCAGGATCAATGGTTGTTTTCCGACGAATCTGTTCCATTGTTTCTGCCAAGCTCTGCCCAGACAAGCAACCTCGTAAAAAACTGAATAGCTTCTCTAGCTGCCTCAGGGATACTTGTTGCAGGTAACTCTTGTGTCGTGGATTATTCTTTAATTTTTCAGCAGCCCTGGTGCAATCTGGAAGAGAGAAGAAAACTATATACCACATACATACTGCATACATTATATACACCACAAACTACTGCAACAGCCAAAATAGAACCAAAAACTCTGAACCCTGAAAGCGTTATCTCCATTATAGTCAAGCAGCTAAATGGCTCTATTGGAATGAATGATTTTGTAGAACTATTCCTTTATATTGGGCTTTCAGTGTGGTGGGAGAAGGAGAGAGAGATTTTTGACTTCTTTAACTTACAAATCACTTTGTAGAGGTATTAAACACTTTCAGCTGGAGAATATGTCTGAGAAGAAAAGTGACATTATAGATTTTAGATAGCAGTAGTGGTATTAATAAAATATTAAGCTACAAATAAAAAACATTTGGAAGGAGAGAAGGGAATTGATATTATTGAATAATGCTGTATCATTTAACCTAATTAGTAATCCCAAAAATATTATTAATTCTCAAACTGGGGGAAAAAAACCCAATTCCCTTTTATAGATTAGGAAACCAAAGCTCATTGACAGTAAGTAATTAATCCAGTGTCACACATCCAGTCCTGAACCTGTATTTAGAGAATATTTAAGACAGGAGGCAAGATAAGACATGAGGTACCTGAAAACTTTGAAAAATTTTAAACTGGCATAATGCGCTGGCGAATTTTCCCCTTGGTTTCATTCTCATAGATTAAGATAATAGCTGGAGGCTGAAATCTAATCCCACATTTCTTGGCAGTGCACATCATTCCCACATACACGTCAGTGTAAATCAGAGGAAATCTGATGACAATGTGCAAGTTGGGTAATGACTTCCTGCTAAAGAGAAAAAACAACTAGGTGTTGCATAAATGTCATTCATTTCCCTCACCCCTTTTCCCCAGAAGATCTGCTTCTAGTCCAGTTCTGGCAACACATGCTCAGCCTGTGAAGCTTAATATTTTTTTCTTTTCTTTTTTTTTTTGAGATGGAGCTTCACTCTGTCACCTAGGCTGGAGTGCAATGGTGCAATCTCAGTTTACTGCAAGCTCCGCCTCCTGGGTTCAAGTGATTCTCCTCCCTTAGCCTCCCGAGTGGCTGGGATTATAGGCGTGAGCCACCACGCCCGGACTTCTTTTTCTGTTTTCAATTAAAGTATGGAATGCTTCCTGAGTTTGTGTGCCATCCTTGCGCGTGGCCATGCTAATCCTCTCTGTATCATTACAATTTTGGTGTCTGTGCGCTGAAGCGAACACAAAGCTCAGTTACTTTGAGAGCTACTGGGAAAGTTCAGTTTGGCCCTGGGTTAGTTTCAATCTGTTGGACTCCTAAGACTCTGGATCCCTCAAGAATATAGACTTGTTTGTATGTGAATCTGGGGATGCAATCCAGTTTGAATCTCTTAGTCAAAGATTGAATATGAATCCCTAAGTCAGCCCAATAGCTGACCTACAAGGACAGCTGTTTATCAATTAAGAAAGGATGTATCAAGCATCTTCTATATCAAGGTACTATGAGCTTCTTAAGCTTAATCATTTTGCCCTGAGGGGTTCACCAGTCCAGAGCTGTCTCCTTTGTACTTTCCTAACTATTTTACTAGAGTTTTTCATTATTACTTATTTAATCATCTATCTTCCCTTCTAGTCAACATGGTACATGAGGGTGTGGGGGCATATTCATTTTTCACCACAATATCTCAGTATAATACCTGGAACACAGTAGGCATTTCACACATCGTTTAACTAACATGATGGTCCCTGAACACTTTCGTAAACACTTCCAGTCTAGAAGCCTGATCAAAAAGCAGACCTGATGCAGAATCAGCTTCTTCATATACAAGTCAGTAACGTTTCCATGGCTTTTATTTTGGCTTATTTGTCTCACTATATGATATTTTTCTAGCTACAAGAAATATAGTTATTTGTAGATTAATACTTACCATTGTCTCTTCCTTTCCCCACCTTCAATGCCCAAATCCACTTAATCATAAGCACTGCTTTAGATGTGACTATGACATTCTCAGAAAGATTCATCAATGTCAAGAAACATTGAGGTAAAGTGGCATAGGATGATGATATCTCTGTGAACTCAGTTCTGTTGGAGAATCACTATTAGGAACATACTTTTTTTTCCACTCAAAAACCTAGTGTCTATATCTAAGGAACATACTTTGTATAAAACACTTGGCAGTGATTATACACATTCATTGTAGAATAACGGGGCAAAGGAGAGGGGAAACAGAAAATAATCACCCTTGATTGTGTCTTTTTTCTTTCTTCTTTTTTTTTGGGGTGGGGGGCGGGGTGAGACGGAGTCTTGCTCTGTCGCCAGGCTGAGTGCAGTGGTGGGAATCTCAATTCACTGCAAACTCTTTCTCCTTGCCTCAGCCTCCCGAGTAGGTGAGAATACAAACACGTGAGTGAGTCACTGTGCCCAGTTACAAAAACCTATTTTAAAAAATTACTGTGCTCTACTTCTAATCTGATGCAATGATATCACACCATTTTCTCCTTCTTTTTCCTTTTCTGTTTTTTTTAAATGAATACTACTCCCAATTCACCTAAAATTTGATGTTAGTAAACTAGAACCTACTAACCACAATATAAACTCTACACATTGAAGCAAATGATTGTCCTCGTCAAAGATGTATGCAATTGGTGTTCAAATAATGTAGTTTTACTAGACTCTTTTCTTTTTAAAATTTAACTTTAATTTTTGCTAAAATAATGTTTGTATTTGGAACATAAACTAATTATATAAGGCTTTAAACAAAAAACTAGTCTGTCCTATCGTTTTCATAAGGAGCCAGATTTAAAAGGCATGTCTTCCAAAATTTATCTCTCCATTTCTTAAAAAACATGCCTATACTACCATTGTCAGTGGTTGTTTTTTTTTTTTTTTTTTGAGATGGAGTGTTGCTCTCTCGCCCAGGTGGAGTGCAGTGGTGTGATCTTGGCTCACTGCAATCTCTGCCTCCCAGGTTCAAGCGATTCTCGTGCCTCAGCCTTCTAAGTAGCTGAGATTACAGATGCCTTCCACCACACCTGGCTAATTTTTGTATTTTTAGTAGAGACGGGGTTTCGCCATGTTGTTCAGGCTGGTCTCGAACTCCTGACCTCAGGTGATCTGGCCAAGTGCTGGGACCACACGGGTTAGCCACCTTGCCCGGCTATTTTCAGTTTTAGATCGTTATCTTTTGACTTACACTCTCTTTCTCCTCTTTGCGACACCCATCCTAGAGCCCGCTGTTCCACTCCAAGCCACCTGGATGCTCTCTAGGACTGTTTACAGATTCCACTCTGTTTAGGAAGGAGGACGGCACATTTACTGGATTATTCTTCCTGAATACTCTTCTCCCCAGAGATCAGTAACTGCGCACAATTTTGTTAGGAAGCCCCACAGCACCTAAGGCGTACGGATGTCCCCAAAGGGTAGACGATTCTCTCCCTATTCATGTCTCCAGTAGTGCAAGGCTGGCTTTCTTACCCTTAGAGAAATACAGAAATGACATCTGCAGGCCAACGTCTTAACAGCCAGGAGTGGGTATTTTCCCACCCAACCGCAGTGCACAGAAAGCACCTAAGCCGACTTTGAGGGCGGGCGGAGTCTGGCGCTGCAGGAAGAGGCGACAGCCACAGCCCTACTGACGAGCCAGAGGGGTGAACTCCACGACTGGAGGCCCGAACCCGGAAATACCGGGATGCGGAAGTGGGGGCCGGCCGCGGGCGCGGTCCCGTATCCCAGGACCCGCCCGGCGCTGGCCAAGCTGTTTCCACAGCACCAGGCCGGGCGCGCATCCCCGCGCGTGCGCAGCTCCTCGCCCGCCCCCCGGAGGGCGGAGAGGGGAACTGAGGGGCGGGAACGGACGCCTCACGCCGCGCGGGAACGTTTGGGGGCCGGGGCTGCAGGCAGCGCAGATCCGCGGGCGCTAGGCGCGCGTACCCAGCACTGGGTGCCGGCGGCGAAATCCGCGGTAGCGCGCTGTAGCGGCTGGCGGCCAGTGCACGCCCCTTCCTGCGTCTGCAGCTGGCTCCGCGCGCCCCTCTCGGGCGTCCGGCCTCCGACGTCCTGGCGGCTTGGGTGGCGGCTGTTCGGGCGGTCGCCTGGCTGCTCCTCGGGGCGGCGACCTGGCTCACGCGCGGGCCCGCCGCGGCCTTCACTGCCGCAAGCTCTGACGCCGGTAAGGGGGGCCGGGCTGCGGAGTGCGGGCGGGGCTCGAGGGCCAGAGCGTGGTGAGCGGTCCCGGCTCCCCTGCCTCTCCGCGGGTTGCTGGGACGTGGGGACCCGGCGCGGGACCTAGATCGATAGGGCGAGCCGGAGGAGGTCAAACACCAGAGCCACTTGCCCTCCTCCGTCCCCCTGCCCTCTCGTGCGCTCTGCTCTGCGGCGGATCCCGGGTCTCTGGAGAGTCGGGCTCGGGCTCTGCGGTTCCCAGGCTGGACTGGCCGCCCTGTTGCTAAAGTGCTGAGAAGGAAGGTCAGCCGTCAAGCGTCTTGGCATGCTCTTGGGTTGCACGAAGCTTCTGATCATCAAGGGGCCAGCAAGGCCTTAGCGCCCTGTGAGGCATGAGAGTCCGCAAATTGAATATAGGGACTCCGTGGCAAACTGCTAGTTCGTGCAAGAGTAGTTGGCGAACTGCTTGCACTACTGCTGGACAAGTGCAGGAGTAATTACAATAAAGTAGTAAGGTTTGACGGGGAAGGAAAGTACAAACCTGGCAAGTTTCTCCATCTGTAAAATGAGGATGTTTCTGTCATCCTTCGTACCATTTAGATCCATTTATTATCTGTCAATCAGCAAAGCTCTGCTTTTGTGTGTTGACATTTTGGGTTTCCAAGTTTATCTAAAGAAAGGATTATGAGGCCAAGAAGAATTTTTAAACAGTTTGATTCGGTGATCTCTAGAGGTTTCCAACATTGGCATTTTATAATTAAAAAGGGGTCAAAATTAGTCGGGCATGATGGCCTCTGCTTGTACTCGGGAGGCTAAGGCTGGAGAATCGCTTGAACTCGGGAGGCAGAGGTTGCAATGAGCCTAGATCACGCCATTGCACTCCATCTGGGTGACAGAGTGAGACTCCGTCTCAAAAAAAAAAAAAAAATTACAAAGGAGTCAATTTCCAAAGCCAGCTCACCACAACCAAAGTAATATTTAAGAGGAAAAATGTTGAAGGTAAATTCACGTCCAACAAATTAGTTTTCAAAATGGTACTTTTGCCTTTAAAATCATAATAATAGTTTTGCCATACTGTTTGTAAATTAGCCTTTTCCAATCCCAACGATCAACTGCTATCTAGTGTACATACCCATAGGATTTAAGCCTGTTAATCATTTTTCTTCTAATTTAATTTATAGGTAAATATTAGCTCTCATTTCCCACCCTACCCCCATTAAAATTAAACACAATGAAGAAAAATCTGGATTTGTGCTGGGCACAGTGGCTCACACCTGTAATTCTTCTTCTTTTTTTTTTTTCTGAGACAGTTTCTCTCCTGTTGCTCAGGCTGGAGTGCAATTCGTGATCTCTGCTCACTACAACCTCCACCTCCCAGGTTCAAGCAATTCTCCCGCTTCAGCCTCCGGAGTAGCTGGGATTATAGGCGTGTGCCACCATACCTGGTTAATTTTTTGTATTTTTAGTAGAGACGGGGTTTCTCCATGTTGGTTGGGCTGGTCTCAAACTCCTGACTTCAGGTGATCCGCCCGCCTTAGCCTCCCAAAGTGCTGGGATTATAGGCATGAGCCACCTCGCCCAGTCGCATACCTGTAATTCTAACACTTCAGGAGGCTCTGGTGGGAGGATTGCTTGAGACCAAGAGTTCAAGACCAGCCTGGAAAACATAGCAAGACCCTGTCTCTACAAAAAAATTTAAAAGTAGCCATGTGTGGTGGCATGGGCCTGTAGTCCTAGCTACTTGGGAGGCTGATGCAAGAGGATTGCTAAGTTCAAGGCTGCAGTGAGCTGTGATCATGCCACTGCACCCAGCTTGGGTGACAGAGGAAGGCCTTGTCTCTAAAAAAAAAAAAAAAACACACACACACACACAAAATTAAAAAAGAACAAAGAGGCCGGGCACTGTGGCTCATGTCTGTAATCCCAGCACTTTGGGAGGCTGAGGCAGGCAGATCACAAGGTTGAGAGAGCAAGACCATCCTGGCTGACATGGTGAAACTCTCTCTCTACTAAAAATACAAAAATTAGCCGCATGTGACACATGCCTGTAGTCCCAGCTACTTGGGAGGCTGAGGCAGGATAATCACTTGAACCTGGGAGGCAGAGGTTATAGTGAGCTGAGATCGAGCCACTGCACTCCAGCCTGGTAAAAGAGCAAGATTCTGTCTCAAAAAAAAAAACAAAAAAAAAAAAACAACAAAGAAAGATCTGGATTAGTACAAGATACATACGGGGTGTGGAGATTTATTTTTTTGGGAAAAGATCATATACTTCTCCAAAGCAAATACAATTTCTTTTTTGAGAGTTGGAGGTTTTCCAGTGAAACATAACGAGATAAATTCTAGAAAAGCTATAACACTAAAATTTATTTCAATTTTATTGTTGGTGGAAGTATCTTAGGCTTTAAAAGTCAGGCAAACCTTGCTTCTAATGGGTCACATAGTTAGTTGTATGACCCAGGGTCAGTTACTGATGCTTTATAAGTACAAATTTCCTCCTGCAAACAAATAGCAGTAATTTTGCTTACTTTACTAGACTGTGAAAGTTAAAACACACATGAAAGCCCCAAGTAGAGGATCTGGCATGCTAGATATTATTTAACAAATGTTATTTTTTCCTATTCTTTTTCATTCCTTCAGATAGTTTCACCTTCACATCATTTTTCTTTTTTTTCTTTTCCTTTTTTTTTTTTTTTGGAGACAGAGTCCCACTCTGTCGCCAGGGCTGGAGTGCAGCAGTGTGATCTTGGCCCTCTGCAACCTACCCCTCCCAGATTCAAGCAATTCTCCTGCCTCAGCCTCCTGAGTAGCTGGGATTACAGGCACAAGCCATGCCTGGCTAATTTTTGTATTTTTAGTAGACATGGGGTTTCACTATGTTGGTCAGGCTGGTGTCGAACTCCTGACCTTGGTATCTGCTGGCCTCAGCCTCCCAAAGTGCTGGGATTACAGGTGTGAGCCACTGCACCTGGCCCCACCTCTTTTTTCTTAATGCATCTTTTCAGAAGCACATCCGATGGATTCAGTAATATTCAATGATAATAATAGGATTATGTAAATAAGATACAGTTTTCTGTGTGTGGGTGGGTTTTTTGTTGGTTGGTTTGTTTTTGAGACAAGATCTGGCTTTGTCACCCAGGCTGGAGTATAGTGGTGCAATATTGGCTCGCTGCAGCCTCCTTCCACCTCCTGGACTAAGCCATTCTCTCACCTAGACTCCTCAGTAGCTAATTTTTTAATTTTTCTTCATGGAGATGGAGTTTCACTGTGTTGTCCAGGCTTGTGTGTTTTTTTAATGTTCTTCCCACAGATTTACAGCTTTTGAAAGGGGACAAAGGTCCATAGCAAATGCCTGGCAGAGTTGCTGGCCAGTAGTAACTGAATTTTTAGTTTTAAGATGCTTACATTGAGTAATAGTTTTTGTTTGTTTGTTTGTTTTTTGTCTTTAGAGACAAGGTCTCTTTCTCTGACACCCAGGCTTGAGTGCAGTGATGCAACCATAGCTCACTGCAGCCTCCATCCCCTGGGTTCAAGCAATATTCCCACCTCAGGTTGTGAGCTAGCACACCTGGCTCTGAGTAATAGCTTTAATGTCTGGATTCTCGATGAAGTCAGTATGCTGAGATTTCTGGTTATTCTAAGTTTACAGTGGAACCCATTGAACCTTTAAGTGCCTCCAGCTTTGCTTTTTTTTTTTTTTTTTTTTCCTTAAACCTTCCAGCATCTCCACAAGGCATAAATGTATCATCTTCCTGGTTTTGTAGGCATGGATGTTAGAATATAGAAGTTGCCATTATGTATCTGATACACAGTTTCCGTGAACTAGGATTAAAATGGAGATTACCTGGCTGTTTAGCCATCCTGTTCCTTTTTGGCATCTTGGGATCACCTGAATAAAGCAATATTAATAACAAACACTTACATAGAATGCTTACTATGCGGTCGGTAGGGTCTGTTCTAAGTGCTTCTACATATATTAAATTCTCATGAGAGCTAATAGAGAGAGAAACTATCTTGCCCGAAGTTGACACAGCTGTTAAGTTACAGACGGGGATTTGAAATTAGGCACTCTAACTCCAGAGTCATTGTTCCTAATCACTGTGCTATATTGGAAGTAGATTTATATATATCTCAAATTGCTTAAATTTTGAAAGTTTTTGTTTTTTAGGTTGGATAGATTTTCTAGGCAAGTAAAGCCTACTAAAATACCTGTTTTCTAATTATTTAAATATTATTTTATTGAGTGCTTTTGTTTTTTAAAAAACATCTTTGGTTCTTATAGGCATAAGGGCCACGTGTTCTGAAATTACTTTGAGACAAGAAGTTTTGAAAGATGGTTTCCACAGGTAAGTTGCCCATTATTTCTATTCCTATTAAAATAATGTCTCATATAATTGTGTGCAAAAAGCTGTAGTTGAAATATATATAAACTGAAAAATCAGGCTGGGCGCAGTGGCTCATGCCTGTAATCCTAGTACTTTGGGAGGCCAAGGTGGGCAGATCACAAGGTCAGGAGTTCAAGACAAGCTTGGCCAATGTAGTGAAACCCCGTCTCTACTAAACATGAAAAAATGATCTGGGTGTAGTGGTGTGTGCCTATAGTCCCTGCAACTCGGGAGGCTGAGGTAGGAGAATCGCTTGAATCCTGGAGGTGGAGGTTGTGGTGAGCTGAGATCACGACACTGCACTCCAGCTTGGGCAAGAGAGTGAGACTTTGTCTCCAAAAAGAAAAAAGAAAGAAAAGAAAAGAAAAATCACTTGCTTTCTCAAAGTTATTCAGTGATGGCATATGTGGTTCACTCTTTGAAATAGTGATTAAAATAACTGAGTAGAGCAAAAAAGAAAACAAATATCTATTTACCGTGTACAATTGTCCCTTGGTATCTGAGGGGGATTGGTTCCTCCTGGACTTCCCCTGAGGATACCAAAATCCTCAGATGCTCAAGTCCTCTGTATCAAATGGCATAGTATTAGTATAGAACCTACACACACCTTCTCATATATAGTATATTTTTATATGTACAACTAGTACCTATATATAATATTACATTTAATCTTCACAATGGCATGAGATAGATTATTTTTTCTTAGTTTTCAGATGAAGGAGGTAGAGCTAAAAGAATTTAAATAATGTGGTAGAAATTAGAGTGATAGAGCTCTGACTCAAATTTAGTACCATTATATGAAAAAAAAATTTTTTTGAGGTGGAGTCTCCCTAAGTCATGCCTAGGCTAGAGTGCAGTGGCATGATCTTGGCTCCCCGCAACCTCCATCTTCCAGGTTCAAGTGATTCTCTTGCCTGAGCCTCCCAAGTAGCTCAGAATCCAGGCATGCACCACCAAGCCCAGCTAATTATTGTATTTTCAGTAGAGATGGGGTTTTACCATGTTGGTCAGGCTGGTCTCGAACTCCTGATCTCAAATGATCCTCCCACCTTGACCTCCCAAAGTGCTGGGATTACAGGCGTGAGCCACTGTGCCCGGCCTAGACCACATTATTAAAAGGATGGTTTGTGAACACAGAAGAGGTGGTATAACCGTGCTTTTCTTGGGGTTGTGCTGCAGTCCAGTGAGTATGTAGTAAGGGCAATACTGCTAATGCCTACACAACATGTATGCATCAACTGGAGCTTAGCTTTACCTTGGTGCAATTTTTGGTAAAATGAAAAACCTCTTTTTCATGAAAAATAAATAAATAAGAAGTGGTGATCTTTGAGAATTTGCATGAATGTATTACAAATATTTTCTTTACAGAGTTACTTGATAGGTAGATCAGGGAAATACTATAATTATAGTATCTCTATATACAGATTTTCTGGAAGACTTTTGACCAAGTTTTACATTTTACATTTGTGAACAAGATGAAGAAATGTGTATTGGAAGACAATAGAGGTGAATGACTTCATAAAGATTCACAAATATATCCAGTATCTTCTGATTAATGGATTGAATGTGATCTTGGAGGGAGGTCCTGAAGGGTCTCTGTCTTTTTAAAATACATATGCTTTTTCTGATTATAAAAGTATTACCTGTTCATAAATATGTGTATAATGTCCAGGAGAAAATAGATTATAGGTATATTCTGCTTTTATAGAAAATATATCTATATGGCTAATGATGTGGGCCTTAGAGTAAAACTATGATCATTTGAATCTTGGCTAGATAAGTTACTTAGCCTCTCAGTGCCTTGCTTATATAATTCCAAGGAATTATAATAGAATTATTTCATAGTTTAAAAAAATCAACCTCATTGAGTTTTGACACATGTATACACTCATGTAACCACAGCCAGACCAGAATCAAAATATAGAACATTTCTATCCTAAAAAATACCTGTGTGCTGCTTCCAGTTACTCTTCCTCACATACCCACTCACAGCCAACCACTTGTCTGTTTTCTGTCACTGTATAGGTTTTCTAGACTTTTATATAAATGAAATCACACAGTATATGCTTTTTTATATCTGGCTTCTTTCAGTGTTATGTCAGTGAGATTCATACATGTTCTATATAGAAGTAGTTTGCTCTTTTTTGTTGCTAAGTGCTGAAATGTGTTTATCCATTCACTTATCAATGGCATGGGAGTAGTTTCCAGTTTGGGGCTGTTGTTATGAAACAAGCTGCCATGAACATTTGTGTACATGTCTTTGTGTGGACATGTTTCCATTTCTCTTGGGTAGATATTGATGAGTGGAATTTCTGAGTATATGGTAGATATATGTTGAACCTTTTAAGAAACTGTCAAACTGTTTTCCAAAGTGGTTATACCATTTTACATTTCACCAGCAACGTGTGAGAATTCTCTTTTTCCCATTTCTTCAGCAACACTGGATATGATTAGTCTTAGACATTCTGGTGGCTGTGTAGTGGCATTTCATTGAAGTTTTAATTTGCATTTCCTTGATGACTAATAATGTCGAGCATCTTTCCACCATGTTTATTTTATATCTTCCTTTGGGAAGTGTTTGCTTAAATGAAAACACCCATTTTTAAGTTGGGTTGTTTATTATTAAGTTGTAAGCATTCTTCACATATGTATTTTTGATATAAATCCTTTGGTAGATGTATGCATTGAGAATATTTTCTCCCTGTTATGGCTTGCCATTTCATTTTCTTAGACAGGGTCCCACTCTTACCCAGGCTGGAATGCAGTGGCACAATAATTGCTCACTGCAGGGTGGAACTCCTGGGCTCAAGTGATCCTCCTGCCTCAGCCTCCTTAGTAGCTGGGACAACAGGTGCATACTATCATGCCCAGTTACATTTTTTACATTTTTAAAGATTAAAAAACAAAAGTAGTCCAGGTATGGTGGTGCACATCTGTAATCCCAGCACTTTGGGAGGTTGAAGTGGGCGGGTCCCTTGAGCCCAGGAGTATGAGACCAGCCTGGGTGACATGGTGAAACCCCATTTCTACCAAAAACAAAAAAAACAAAAATTAGCCAGACATGGTGACATGCAGCTGTAGTCTTAGCTACTTAGGAGGCTGAAATGAGCAGATCTTGAGTCCAGGAGATTGAGGTTCCAGTGAGCCAAGATCATGCCATTGCGCGACAGCTTGGGCAACAGAGTGAGACCCTTTCTCAAGAAAGAAAACCAAAGCAAAGAAAACTGCAGCAGACACTATATGTGGCTTGCAAAGCCTAAATTATTTACTGTCAGGCTCTTTACAGAAAAAGTTTTCCAACTCCTGATCTATATGACCATCTTGGTAAGTATCTTGACCATCAGAAAGTATGAATCCACCAACTTTTTTTTTTTTCCAAAAAAATTCTTCTGGTTATTCTAGATCTTTTGCATTTCCATATAAATTTTTAAATCAGGTTAATGATTGCTTCAAAAAAGCTTCATAAAATTTTGCTTGAGATTGATGAAACTCTAGATCAATTTGGAGATAATTGATGTGTTAACATTAATTAATGAATGTTTTAATCCATGAATATGGCATCTTCATTTATTTAGATTTTTTTTTCAGCTGGTCTTAACCATGTATTAGGCTGGTGCAAAAGTAATTGCAGGTTTTGGCCATTTAAAGTAATTACTTGGCTGGGCACTGTGGCTCATGCCTGTAATCCCAGCACTTTGGGAGGCCGAGGCAGGCAGATCACCGGAGTGTCAGCAGTTTGACATCAGCCTGGCCCCCCATCTCTACTAAAAATACAAAAAATTAGCTGGGTGTGGTGGCAGGTGCCTGTAATCCCAGCTACTTGGAAGACTGGGACGGGAGAGTCCCATGAACCCAGGAGGCTGAGGTGTCAGTGAGCCAAGATCGTGCCACTGCACTGCAACCTGGGCAACAGAGTGTGACCTGTCTCAAAAAAGAAAAAAAAAAAAGGTAAGGGTATAGGTATTTCACTATGAAGTATATTTGTGTTAGGTTTTTTGTAGATAGCTTTTATCCGTTGAGGACTTTCTCTTAACTTCTAGTTTCCTGAGAGGTTTTTTTCATGATTAGGTATTAATTTTGTCAGATACTTTTTCTTCCTCTGTTTTGAGAGGATCATACAATTTTTATACTTTATTCTGTTAATATGATGAAGTACACTGATGTTTCCAATAGTAAACCTATCCCTTGGTCATGCAATATTATCTTCTTGAAATACGTCTGTATTTGTTTTGCTAATAACTTGCTAAGTATTTTTACTTGTATGTTCATGAAGGCTATTGGTCCATTACTGTGTTGTGATGTGTTATTCTGGTTTCACTGTCAATGGCATTGTTGGCCTTATAAAATAGATTGGGAAACACGTTCTTCTCTATTTTCTGCTTGTGTAGCATTGTTATTATTTCTTCCTTTAATATTTAATAGAATTTAACAGTGACTGTTTTGAAGCTCTGTTTTTGGGTGTGTATGCTACATTTAGGATTGTTCTTGATGTTCTTGATGAATTGGCCCTTTTATCTTTATATAATGTCTTTTTTTATGACTGACCATATTCCTTGTCCTAGAGTCTCCTTATTCTAATATTAATATAGCCATCCCATATTTATTATTAATATTTGCATATCTTTTCTATCCTTTTGCTTTAAACTTTCTGTCTTTACCCTCAGTGTGTTTCCTATAGATAGCGTATGATAGCATATAGTTAAGGATGGCCTTTTTTTTCTTTCCAAATCCCAAGAGCCTGTGAAAGGAGTTGCTCTTTTGTCCATCTGTCAGTCTCTGCATTCTAATTGGAGTGATTAGGCCATTTATTTTTCATGTAAATATTAATATGGTTGGTTTGGTTTAAATTTATCTTGCTACTTTTTTTCTATTTGTTCCATCTAGTATTTTCCTTTTTTTTTTTTTTTTTGCCTTATTTTGGATGTCTTGAGTATTTTTTAAGCATTCTATTTTGTCTCAATTTTTGGCTTATAGCTGTACTTCTCTCTGTTTTTAATTTGTTGCTTTAGGGTTTACAGTGTGCAATTGTTACCTATCACAGTCTACCTTCAAATAATTTTATTCCATGTCACAGATACTGTTCTATCAGAATGGTTTCATTTCCTTCTTTTCTCTATGCTATTGTAATTACGTATTTTACTTCATTTTTCACTTGTGTTATGAACCCCACAATATATTGTTACTGGTTTTTCTTTAAGCAGTCACTTTTTACATTATTTATTTTAATTGTGATAAAATACCCAAAACATAAAATTTACAATTTTAATTTTTTTTTTATTTTGAGATGGAGTCTTACTCTGTCACACAGGCTGGAATGTAGTGGTGCCTTCTCAGCTTACTGCAACCTCCACCTCCTGGATTCAAGCAATTCTCCTCCCTCAGCCTCCTGAGTAGCTGGGATTATAGGCACGCACCACCACATCGGGCTAATTTTTTGTGTTTTTAGCAGAGATGGGGTTTCACCATGTTGGTCAGGCTGGTCTCAAACTTCTGACCTTGTGATCCACCCACCTCAGCCTCCCAAAGGTCTGAGATTACAGGCATGAGCCACTGCACCCAACTAACTACAATTGTAACTATTTTTAAGTGTACAATTCAGTGGCATCAAGTACATTCACATTATTGTGCCATCACCACTATTCATTTACAGAACTCTTTGTTTTGTAAAACTGAAACTCTTTGCCTATTAAGCAATAACTACTCATTCCCCCTTCTCCCAGCTCCTGGCAACCATCATTCTACTTTCTCTGTGAATTTGACTCCTCTAGGTACTTCATATAAACGGAATCATATAATATTTGTGACTAGCTTATTTCACTTAGCATAATGTTCTCACAGTTCATGCATGTTTTAGGGTATGTCAGAATTTCCCTTCTTTTTAAAGCTGAATAATATTCCATTGTATGTTTATACCACATCTTGCTTATCCATTCGTTGTTGATGGGCACTTTGGTTGCTCCTGCCTTTTGGCTGTTGCAAATAATGCTGCTGTGAACAGGATTTACAATTGTCTCTTAAATGCCTGCTTTCATTTCTTTTGGGGATATACCCAGAAGTGGAATTGCTGGATCATATGATAATTCTATTTTAATTTTTTGAAAAATTGTCATACAGTTTTCCATAGTGGCCACATCATTTTACAGTCCCACTAACAATGCACAAGGGTTCCAATTTGTCTATCAATCATATTTGAAAGCAATTAAAACATGAGAGAAAAATATTTCATATTCTCTCACATATTTACCATTTCTGATCTCTTCTTTCTTACAGATTTATGTTTCTGTCTAGTATCATTTACTTTCTGTCATTTCTTGCAGTGACAAATTCTCTTAGTTTGTGTGAATTTTTATTTTGCCTTTATTTTTGAAAGTTTTTCCTGCTGTATATAAAATTATAGATTGACAGCTTTTCTTTTAGTACTTTAAATAGGTTGCTCCATTATCCTCTAGCTTATTCTTATCTTTGTTACTCTCTACATAATTTTTGATAGTTTTTAAGACTTTTTTCCATTGACTGGATAATAATGTGCCTTGATGTGATTTTCTTTGTATTTATCCTGCTTGGGGTTGGTTGAGCTGCTTGGATTTATAGATTAATAATTTTTATGCAATTCAGAAAGTGTTCAGCCATTATATCTTCTTTTTTTTTCTGTTACATTCTCTCTTCTTATTTAGGAACTCCAATTATAGGTATACTAGACTACTTGATATTGTTTAAAAGCCATGGAGGCTGTTCCTTTTTTTCTTCCTGGTCTTTTTTCCTCTCTGTGCTTCAGTAGATAATTTCTGTTCCTCTGTCCCCAAGTGTCACTGATCTTTTTTTCTTCAACAGCTAATGACTTTTAATTACATTTGGATACGCTTTTATTTCAGAAATTATATTCTCCATCTCTTAAAGTTGGAATATGTTTTTAAAAAAACACCTTCTCTCTCTTTCTTTTTTTCTTGAGACAGGATCTTGTCTCTGTCTCCCAAGCTGGAATATAGTGGTGCTTTCAGAGCTCACTGCAGCCTCAACCTCCCAGGCTCAAAAGATTCTCCTACCACACCCTCCCTTGTAGTTGGGACTATGGGCATACATCACCACACCTGACTAATTTTTTTATATTTTATAGAGACAGGAATCTCTATGTTGCTTAGGCTGGTCTCAAACTACTGGCTTCAAACGATAATCTCACATCGGCCTCCTAAAGTGCTGGGGTTACAGGCATGAGCCACCATTCCGAGCCTTTTTTTTTTTTTTTAGACGGGGTTTTGCTCTGTCACTCAGGCTGTAGTACAAAGGCATGATCTTGGCTTACTGCAACCTCCGCCTTCTGGCTCAAGCAGTTCTCCTGCCTTAGCCTCCTGAGTAGGTGGACCACAGGCATGTGCCACCATGCCCGGCTGATTTTTGAATTTTTGGTAGAGATGGCATCTTGCCATGTTACCCAGGCTGGTCTCGAACTCCTGAGCTCAGGCAATCAGCCTGCCTCGGCCTTCCAAAGTGCTAGGATTATAGGCGTGAGCCACTGTGCCCGCCTTCTGGCCTATTTTTTTCTAGGTAAATATCCAGTGTTTCAGTACCATTTATTGAAAAGACTATCCTTTCCCCATTAAAGAGCACTGGTACCTTTATTGAAAATTGTATGTTATTGGATTCCATTCCTTTCCATTGTTCTTTGTCTATTTTTACAGTAATGCTATAGTGGCTTATGACATGAATTATGAAAGATCTAATGGATGATTCTGACATGTTACACATATTTCATTTGACCTTATAATGTACTTTTGGAAAATGAATTTGAAATACAGTGTTTTCACTGATAGGAACGTAGTATTATGTTACCTCATTTAACAATTGAATGAAGAGATTGACTAAATGCACTTGTCTTACAGAGACCTTTTAATAAAAGTGAAGTTTGGAGAAGGCATTGAGGACTTACAGAGGTGCCGACTCTTAATTAAACAGAACATTCCTACAGGACTTTTTGTGGATCCATATGAGTTGGCTTCATTACGAGAGAGAAACATAACAGAGGTACAGTTATTAGGAGATTTTTTTGTGGAGAGAAATTAAGTTAGGCTGTATACCTGAAAAATGCCTTCATTGGGACAGTGGTTTAATTTGACTACTTCTAAGGTCTTGATTATATAATTCCTTGGCTTTTGCCAATGAGTTCTATTACTGCTGTGATTAACTGAAAAGGAACAACATATAATGACAATGTAGCACTTGGTGTCACTGTCACAGGAAAGTTAGGATGCTTGATGTGATGGGAAGGAGTTAATGCTGTTTGTTTCTATGAGTTATACCAGGGTTTTGCATGGACAATCTGAAGAGAAGTTGTATGTGTGTACATCCATACATATGCACATAGGTTTTGTATATAATGCCTATATGTGTGTGTGCATATACCTTTGTATACATGAATATGCATATATGTGGATATATATGCATAATAAATACACACATTATAACTCAGGTCTAATTTCTGTCACGTGGACATTTTCACTGTTGATGTAGAATACTATACTTTTATTTAAAATAATTTTTACCATATTATTTTAAAAAATCATTTACTGTTTTTTCCATTAACTTTTTATACCCTCTCTAGAAAGAGTGCTGACCTTTACTTTGACTTCCTGACCGCAGAGCTCTTACTCATTGCCATCTCGCTTGCTTCTCTGAAGAACAGGAAATTATCAGAATGATACCAATCATTTTAACTCAATACATGTTGAACCCTTTGTCATAGTTTTTGTAGTTACTGAATAATGCTATAGTCACAAAATTTCTCTGTTCTTAGGCACCTGTTTTGTCACCTAAACAAAGATTAATAAGAAAATATCACAGAAATAATGTTTTCAATTTTTTCTATTTTTATTTTTTGAGATGGAGTCTTGCTCTGTCGTCCAGGCTAGAGTGTAGTGTTGTGATCTCGGCTCACTGGAACCTCCACCTCCCAGGTTCAAGTGATTCTCCTGCCTCAGCCTCCCGAATAGCTGGGATTACAGACGTGTGCCACCACGCCCAGCTAATTTTTGTGTTTTTAGTAGAGACGGGGTTTCACCATTTTTGCCAGGCTGGTCTAGAACTCATGATCTTGTGATCTGCCTGCTTCAGACTCCCACAGTGCTGGGATTACAGGCGTGAGGTGGCCAGAAATAATTTCTTATTATGGGGAAATTTGGTACCCTAGAATATAATTTCCCCAGTTTACCTTTAGTAAGCAAACTTCTTTAAACATAAATAAACTTGTGTTTTTCTCCTTAAAATCGAGGCTGGAAGGGGCATGAAATTGTTTATAAAGAAGGCAAATTTGACACTGCTCTTTATCATCTGTATAGCAGTCTTCTGGTTTTAACTTTAAAAAAAATCTTCCTCATTCATTTCTTCTTTATTAATATTTATTTTCTTTTTGAACAGGCAATGATGGTTTCGGAAAATTTTGATGTAGAGGCCCCTAACTATTTGTCCAAGGAATCTGAAGTTCTCATTTATGCCAGACGAGATTCACAGTGCATTGATTGTTTTCAAGCCTTTTTGCCTGTGCACTACCGCTATCATCGGCCACATAGTAAAGATGGAGAAACCTTTACTGTGGTCAGTAACCCAGATTTGTTGATGTATTGTGACCAAGGTAAGGGTTGCAAGTGTTTTCTGAGGGTTGAAAAATAAGAATAAAGGCATGGTGGCAAGTTGCAGTCAAGGACAGGGATGGCAAGAGCATGTTTCTTTTTCTTTTAACTTTTTGATTATAAAATAAAGCACACATAAAAGTCTCAAAAAAAAAGAGTCACGTTCAACTTCTGCAATACTTTTGTAATTTTCTAATTTCTTAGGCATTCACATAAAAAGGATGCTAAAATAACGGTATGTGATAGATGGGTCCAAATCATATACATAATGTGTTAAAATATTTGACTACTTCTATCTGTTGAGGTTTAATACAAGCCTAGCTCTGAGTCCAAATACAGGTTTTCTGACATCATTTTCTACCACTTTCCTCAGAGTTCTCGATTTTGAAATGCTGGGCTCACTCAGAAGTGGCAGCTCCTTGTGCTTTGGAGAATGAGGATATCTGCCAGTGGAACAAGATGAAGTATAAATCAGTAAGCTCATATTTTATGTTGTTTTTTAGATTATGCTGCCTCATTTAAATATCTTTCTATTTCTGCCACATTTAAGGGATTAACATTTCCCTTTTTTTTTTTTTGAGCCGGTGTCTTGCTCTTGTTGCCCAAGCTGGAGTGCAACGGCACAATCTCAGCTCACTGCAACTTCCGCCAACCAAGTTCAAGTGATTCTCCTGCTTCATCCTCCCAAGTAGCTGGGATTACAGGCACCCACAACTACACCTGGCTAATTTTTTGTAGAGAGCGGGTTTCACCCTGTTGGCCAGGCTTGTCTCAAACTCCTGACCTGAGGTGATCCGCCCACCTCAGCCTCCCAAAGTGCTGGGATTACAGGAGTGAGCCACCGCACCTGGCTGGGATTAGCATTTTCTAACATAAAAGGCTGTTTGTTCTTACAACTAAGGGTTACTACAAAGCACTGCTATTTTTTTGTTAGGCAACTTTCTTTGAACAGACAGTTGGGGAGATGGTTGACCGTGCAATCTTATGCAATGTAGAATTGTTTTTGAGTAGGTTGCCATTTGCCATATGGTACCTGAAAATTTTTCTCAAACTCTAAAATACATCTGGAGACCTGCATGTGATTGTTTATGTCAATGAGGAGTATGCTTAGTATTTATGATTTATTGATTTAGCAGATTCTTGGTGTGCATTGCTACAAGATAAGTAATGACCATATTAAAACATTTTGAATTCCATTGTCTTTTTATTTATTTGAGACAGAGCCTTACACTGTCTCCCAGGCTGGAGTGCAGTAGCACGATCTCAGCTCACTGTAACCTCTGCCTCCTGGGTTCAAGCAATTCTCCTGTCTCAGCCTCCTGAGTAGCTGGGACTACAAGCACCTGCCACCATGCTTAGCTAAGTTTTGTATTTTTAGTAGAAATGGGATTTCACCTTGTTGGATTTCAAACTCCGGACCTCAGGTGGTCTACCTGCCTCAGCTTCCCACAATGCTGGGATCACAGATGTGAGCCACCACACCTGGCCTCAGTTGTCTTTAAAACTCTGTAACTTGCCATAAAAGATCATAATTTAATACTTTAAATATAGTTTGTTTATTTTGATATGGAGCCTCACTCTGTTGTCCAGGCTGGAATGCAGTGGTGCAGTCTTGGCTTACCACCACAACCTCTGCCTCCCGGGTTCGAGCCTCAGCCTCTCAAGTAGCTGGAACCTCAGGCATGGCTGATTTTTGTATTTTTAATAGAGATGGGGGTTTCACTATGTTGGCCAGGCTGGTCTCGAACTCCTGACCTTGTGATCTGCCCACCTCAGCCTCCCAAAGTGCTGGGATTACAGGTATGACCCCCCACACCCAGCCAACTTTATATATATTTCATCTTTATATATACCAGAAAAATAGATGACCATTACTAAGGTGGTATTCCATCCCAAGGTTTGTTGAAGGTGGCATTTTTTGAATGATGGTTTTCAGATTGCACTTTGTTACTGATTGGGTTGGTAACTTTTATTTTTGGGGTTGTGAAATCATAATTCAGGTATTTACAGAACAAAAACAAAAAGTATTGCCAAGTTACCTACACTTTAATGTTTTTTAAAACTTATTTTTAAAGTATAAACTTTTCCAGTATTTTTAATTGAACCCCTTTATCTTTAAAACCAAATAGAAAAAAGAAACTGAGTTGAATATAGGAGCTTTTGTATTGCTGTTCATGGGAAAGATCACATTCAGTTGTATAATATGTGAATAACAAGGTTTTAAAAGCTATCTGGGGAGAGAAAGGCAAACAGGAATAAAGGATAATTTAGTTTTTTGTTGTTCTAATGTTTTTCCTCTAAGTCTTCAATTTAGAGAGAATTCTGTGTTCTAGTGTTCTAATTTGAAGCATGGTAAGAGGAAGTAAATGTTTATATTGATTCCAGAGGTGACACTGGGATATAGCTTCTCTTTTTTTTTTTTTGAGACAGTGTCTCACTCTGTCGCCCAGGCTGGCACACATTGGTACAATCTCGGCTCACTGCAACCTCTGCCTTCTGGGTTCAAGCGATTCTCCTGCCTCAACTTTCTGAGTAGCTGGGATTACAGGCTCACACTACCACATCCAGCTAATTTTTGTATTTTTAATAGAGATGGGGTTTCACTATGTTGGCCAGGCTGGTCTCGAACTCCTGATCTCGTGATCCACCTGCCTCGGTCTCCCAAAGTGCTGGGATTACAGGCATCAGCCACCGTGGCTGGCGGATATAGCTTTTCTTAAAAGAATATACTTAACTCTATGTAAAAAGCAGAAAAATCAGAACTAAAGAGATTTAACAAATTATTGTGGGAATTGAGTCTGATTCTGTAACATTAAATGAAATGTTAGATTCAAAAGTCATTCAAACCAATAATATTACATATAGTGTAGCACTGGCTGAAAGTTATTTAAAAGAAAAAGATCCAATTAAAAATCAAAGAAATATTGGTCTCACTTTATGACATGAATTTGATTGATTGATTGATTGAGATTGAGACGGAGTCTTGCTCTGTCGCCCAGGTTGGAGTGCTGTAGCATGATCTTAGCTCACTGCAAACCTCCACCTCCCAGGTTCAAGTGATTCTTCTGCCTTAGCCTCCCGAGTAGCTGGCATTACAGGCACCTGCCATCACACCTGGCTAAGTTTTGTATTTTTAGTAGAGACAGAGTTTCACATGGTTGGCCAGGCTGGTTTCAAACTCCTGACCTCAAGTGATCTGTCTGTCTTGGCCTCCCAAAGTGCTGGGATTACAGGCATGAACTACCATGCCTGGCCCATGACATGCATTTTAAATATCTATTTTTTTTCTCTCTCTCTCCATAGGTATATAAGAATGTGATTCTGCAGGTTCCAGTGGGACTGACTATACATACCTCTTTAGTATGTTCTGTGACTCTGCTCATTACAATCCTGTGCTGTACTTTGATCCTTGTAACAGTTTTCAAATATGGCCATTTTTCCCTATAAGTTTTATGTAGTTAAATGCTTCCTAGAAACCTAAATAAGATCTATTAAATTCTGATGAGAGGTGTTCTTCTAGAATTGAGCTAGTAACTTTTATCATTTGTGGCCAAACTTACGTTTACTAGAGGAAATCTGAGAATGATCCCAGATTTCCTCTAGTAAACGTAAGTTTGGCCACAAATGGCCTCAGCTAATTCCAAAATTTAGTGCTCTATTGCACAGATGCTCGGTAATCCTCAAGCATCAAATGCCCTAAGAGGAAACAATTCTGCTAAATTGATGTCTATTTAGTGAGAAGTGACTTTATCTTCATTTGGGATAGAAAAATTATTTCCTTATGTAGTAGAGACAAATTATTCTCATTTTGTGAATACTTTCCATTTAAGCTACAAATTGTGAAAACCATACAAATAAGAATAAAATAGGCCAGGCACAGTGGCTCACGCCTTTAATCCCAGCACTTTGGGAGGCTGAGGTGGGTGGATCACCTGAGGACTGGAGTTCAAGATTAGCTTGGTGAAACCCCCATCTCTACTAAAAACACAAAAATTAGCTGGGCGTGGTGGTGGGTACCTTTAGTCCTAGCTAATTGGGAGGGAGATGTGGGAGAATCGCTTGCACCTGGGAGGCAGAGGTTCCAGAGAGCCAAGATTGCACCACTGCACTCCAGTTTGGGCGACAGAGTGAGATCCTATCTCCAAAGGGGAAAAAAAAGAATAAAATCACTTGGGATGAAAATCATGTCTATTTAAATATTAATGTCATGAGAATATTAAAGACATTTGCCAGAGTTTCAACAAAAATCATTAGGACAGCTAAGAAATTATTAATATCAAAATTATTGATAATCTTAAATTGTTGATTATTCCTTAATACACTCCATTCTCCTTTTACATTTTATGTTTCTTTTGAATATATGAATTGGCAAACGGCTTGATGAAACTGAGTACTAAGATTTAGTACAGAATGTGTGAAGAAGAGAACTCAGATTGCCATTTTAAAGTTGTACCTGAACAATAATTGGAATCATCAGGTAATTTTTTAAAACAAAGGTTCTTAATTTACTGTGATGCTTGGGAAAAAATTAGAAAATAAAGTAAGTGCCATAGGCTAATTAAAAAATAAAACTTTAGAGGGAGCGTGTTCCAGAAGAGAAGCCATCAAACCAGGGTATGTTGGCATTATTTGTTTTATATAGAGTATTGAGATGTGATAAACCTTTATATATGCTATCGCTGCTCAGTTTCCTGAAACATTTTGGTGTTTTCATGGGACCATATCTTGTTGTGACTTGACTAGTCATAACAGTTCTTTTTAAAGGTGTATTTGAGACTTAAATATTGGAAAAGGCAACCCGGTGCCATAAAGCAGAACTCGTGACCTTTAAAATGACTAAAATTTCAACCCAGTATAGTTTCATGCTTTCTCATGAGAAAAAATTTCATGTTTTGGAAACATTTCTTTCACTATGGGATTAATAATGTGACACTGAAATGGAATTATATGTCAGTTAAAATTCACGAACATTGACAGGCAACATTTTGGCATATGGTTAGACAGGTAGGGGAACACGGTACTGTTTAACATCTTAAGAGTATGGGCCAGGTGCGGTGGCTCATGCCTGTAATCCCAGCACTTTAGGAGGTGGAGACGGGCGGATGACGAGGTCAAGAAATCGAGACCATCCTGGCCAACATAGTGAAACCCTGTCTCTACTAAAATATAAAAAAATTAGCTGGGCGTGGTGGCGCACATCTGTAGTCCCAGCTACTCAGGAGGCTGAGGCGGGAGAATTGCTTGAACCCAGGAGGCAGAGGTTGCAATGAGCCAAGATCCCGCTACTGCACTCTAGCCTGGCGCCTGGCAACAGAGCAAAACTGTGTCTAAAAAAAAAAAAAAGAGTATGTGGGGCATGTGTATATAGAATGTTCTTATTTTTGCTCATCACAACCAAGTTTCATCAGTATTTAAAATAAGATTGTGACTTGGAATGTGGTTCAGCCATTTACTCATTTATACAAATATTCAGAAGCGGAATAAAAATGTGAATGAAGAAAGCTTTGATATGACTCTTCTTGCCTGGATAAATGGTTGCAGATGACATCACTTTTAGTATAACAGAACATTTCTGGTTTTGACCTCTTTAGATTATCTTCTTTGGATACTTAAACAATAAACAAATGCTTATTTTAAAATCAGTTTTAAAATTCGGTGTATGGTCTTTTTTAAGGGAAAGGGAATGGGTACCATTTTCTTGGTCATTATGCTCCAATATTTGTCCCACTTTTATGGTTTATTTTTCTTAAGTTATTGTTTTAGGTTCTTTAGCATGCAGAGAACAAAGAAACTGGTTACCTCAACTAAGGGTGATAGCAGGGCAGCAGAATAGCCCGTGTGTATGTGTCTCTATCTCAGGCACCTACCAAAACCGGGCGCGGTGGCTCACACCTGTAATCCCAGCACTTTGGGAGGCTGAGGCAGATGGATCACCTGAAGTCAGGAGTTCCAGACCTGCCTGACCAACATGGAGAAACTCCATCTCTTCTAAAAATACAAAATTAGCTGGGCACCGTGGCATGTACCTGTAATCCCAGCTATTCGGGAGGCTGAGGCAGCAGAATCACTTGAACCTGAGAGGCTGAGGTTGTGGTGAGCCAATATCTTGCCGTTGCACTCTAGCCTGAGCAACAAGAGTGAAACTCTGTCTCTTTTTTTTTTTGAGATGGAGTTTCGCTCGTTACCCAGGCTGGAGTGCAATGGCACGATCTCGGCTCACCGCAACCTCCGCCTCCCGGGTTCAGGCAATTCTCCTGCCTCAGCCTCCTGAGTATCTGGGATTACAGGCACGCGCCACCATGCCCAGCTAATTTTTTGTGTTTTTAGTAGAGACGGCTTTTCACCATGTTGACCAGGATGGTCTCGATCTCTTGACCCTGTGATCCACCCGACTCAGCCTCCCAAAGTGCTGGGATTACAGGCTTCAGCCACCGCGCCCGGCAACTCTGTCTCAAAAAAAAAAAAAAAAAATTTTTACCTAGATCTTTCGGAGGATATTACATGGTTTGAGAATTGGAAAGATATACCGGAGCTTAATAATTTCAGAATATATTGAGCTTAAGAATTGTTATAGCCAGATAATCTATTCATTTAAAGCTACTTATAATTTATACATTTGATAATTAATACTGACTGATAATGATCTGGATATAAATTGGGGTGAAGTGACCAACACCTACATGTGTTGTCCCCAAACCTACAAACTATGCTACTAGCAGGTAGTTGAATGTAAAGTTTGGTAGGCTGTGAGACATTGAAATAATACGAATTAAGTATGCTCTTCAGGATTGTCCTAATCAGTGATATAATGGTAGGTATTATCTATCAGTGTGACTTCTTGCATCTTAGACCTTCCTTCTGAGATTACTTTCCTCCTGAAATATACCTTTTAAGGAGTTCCTTTAGTGTGTCTCTGTTGACAGCTTATGTTTCATGATCTATTTATTTCACTCTCACTCATGGATAATTTAGTTAGTTGTACGCTTCTTCTTTTTTTATTTTATTTTTTGAGATAAAGTCTCACTCTGTCGCCCAGGCTGGAGTGCAGTAGCATGATCCCTGCTCACACCTCCACTTCCCAGGTTCATGTGAGTCACCAGCCTCAGCCTCCCAAGTAGCTGGGACTAAAGGTGCACACTACTACACCTGCTGATTTGTATATTTTTAGCAGAGACAGGGTTTCACTATTGTTGGCCAGGCTGGTCTTGAACTCCTGACCTCAAGTGATACACCCGCCTCAGCCTCCCAAAGTGCTGGTATTACAGGCATGAGGCTCTGCACCCAGCTGGTAGTTGTACACTTCTAAGCTTGGTTATTTTCTCTTGGTACTTTGAAAATATACCATTATTGACTGGCACCCATTTTGCTGTTAAGAAATCTGCTATGAATATAATAGTTGTTTCTTTGTGCAGAATGTCTTTCCTCTCTGGTTGCTTTATCTCTGGTATTCTGCAGTTTCATTTTGATGTGTTTGAGATTTCTTATACTGCTCGGTATTCAGTTTGCTTTCTGAATCTGAAAATTCTTGTCTTTAATCAGTTCTGGAAATTTTTCAGCCATTATTTCATCATTTTCTGTCTCTTTCAGTTTTTCTCTTTTCTCTCCTGGAATTCTCATTAGGAGTATGGTAGATCTTAGCAGTCTATCCCCATGTCTCTTAAGCTTGCTTTCTTTTTTCCTGTCTCTAGGCTTTTCTCAGTAATTTCTTTTCTTTTTTTTTCTCCCAGATCCCTGTTTTTTATATTCTCAGTAATTTCTTCTGATCTCTCTTCCGGTTACTAATTTTCTCTTCAATTGTGTATAATCTGCTACTTAACCAAACATTGGCTTTGGTTTCAATTATTCTTTATTTCTAGAAATTTTACTTAATTCATTTTCTCTTTTTGCTTGTTTGTTTGTTTTGAGACGAAGTTTTGCTCTTGTTGCCCAGGCTAGAGTGCAGTGGCACGATCTCGGCTCACTGCAATCTCTACGTCCCAGGTTCAAGCAATTCTCCTGCCTCAGCCTCCCGAGTAGCTGGGACTACAGGCACCTGCTACCACGCCAGGCTAATTTTTGCATTTTTAGTAGATAGGGTTTCACCATGTTGGTGAGGCTGGTCTTGAACTCCTGACCTCAGGTGATCCGTCCGCCTTGGCATCCCAAAGTGCTGAGATGACAGACATGAGCCACCGTGCACAGCCTACTTAATTCATTTTCAAAGCTATTTGGTTGTTTAAAAAAAAAAAAAGCTGCTTATTTCCTGCTATGTTTCCTAGCTCTTGTCTTATTTTCTTTAATCATTTAAATAGGCATATTTTATATTCTGTAGCCATCAATTCCAGTAGCTAAAGTCTGTATGGGTTTCATTATGTTATTTGTAATTTCTGTTGACTCACTCATTGCTGCTTATTTCCTCAGGTGTATTGTATTTTGGGTGCTCATGTTTGTCTCTGGAAATCCTGTTTATCTGTGGAATCCTTTGAGACCTAGGTTGAGGGTACACCTGTGCAGTCAGGATTTGTATTTGCTTCTTCCAGGCCCCCCAGCACTCTAGCCTGGGACCACTTTCTTGACAAATTTGAACTTTAAAACCTTAGTAAGGGAAAAATTGTGGTTTTTATTTCTAAAAGGGAAATTTTCTTTTTCCCTCCACGCCTACTGCAGACCAAAGTAAATAAATGTTTTGTATGTCTCCCTGGGCTAGTATAGGGTTTTTTTCACCCCAATCTGTTCTTGGAGGGTATAGCACTTCAAATTTCAAGTCCTATGCAGGATCACACTCCTGATTTCTTGTATAGGCCCAAGTCCTTGTCTTTAGTTTCCTGCGCAGCTGTTAAAACCCTAGAGATTTCTGAGATAAGTAGGTACCCTCAACCATGGCTTCACTGCTCTGCTTACCACTCTGGTTTCCTGCTCCTTCTTCATGTTGAGCGTGAAGTTTGGAAGACTATGATAAGCATTCTCTTTTCATTCTTGCAAGTTATGCTTTTGAAATGATGTCTTACTTATCCAATGTTTCTGTGTGTTTAATAATCAGAGCATTTTTCAGGTTATCTTGTACTGTGCCATGTTGTTCCTTGATTCCTTTCTCTCCTGTACCCTCTTTATCCACTGCGTTTTTTGCTCTACATTGATAGAGAAGCACAATCTCTATGCTTGCATCTCTATACTCCATTCTCCACATTGCAGTCTAGTGATCTTAAAGTGTAAACCAGGTAACATCACTTCCCTGCTTAAAAGCCTTTTAATAGCTTTTTGTAATAAAGTGTAGACTTTTTACCATGGCATTCAGGATCTTTCATGACCTAAATCTTGTCTGCTCTAGTGTTTTCTTAATAGTACTGCCTTCTTGTACTAGACCCCAGCTACACAGCCTTCTTAACTGACCGTAGCAAGCTCTTTTCTTTCTTCTGCTTGTATTGCTTTTCTTTGGGTGCTTCTTAGTGCTGTCTCTTTCTGTTCTTACCTTAAGTGTCACTTCCTTCATGAGGCCTTCTCTGACCACCCTCTCCAAAGTAATCTCCCCAAGTTTTTTCTTATACCAGGTGTGTCTAATTGCTGTGTCTTCATATAAGCTCCACAAAGGCTTGGTGAATCAATTTGCATTTCTCTTGTGTTTTTTTGTTTCATTTTGTTTTGGAGATGGAGTCTGGCTGGCTGTGTCACCCACACTGGAGTGCAGTGGTCCAATCTTGGCTCACTGCAACCTCCTCTTCCCGGGTTCAAGAGTTCTACTGCCTCAGCCTCGCCAGTAGCTAGGACTACAAGCACTTTCCACTATGCCCGGCTAATTTTTGTATTTTTAGTAGAGATAGGGTTTCACCATCTTGGCCAGGTTGGTCTTGAACTCCTGACCTCAGGTGATCTGCCCGCCTCCGCTTCCCACCGTGCTGGGATTGCAGGCGTGAACCACCACGCCTAGCCCACCCTCGCATTTCTGATGCTTAACAGTATCTAGGCCATATTGGATATTCAAATATTTGTAGAATAAGTGAAACATTGATGAACTCCTCAGTGGATAAAATAGGGAAGTATTAATTTGCAAGGAGGTGGGACTTAATTTAGCAGCAGAATTATAAGAGTTTGTGAGCAAAAAAGCACAACGGATAACGTATGAATTCCCAGAAACAAATGTCGCGGAGGAAATGTGTATAACAGCAATCGTCTGTCAGCGTCTTCCGTCGGCAAAAACCTGCTTGGAAACAATGCTAAATTAAATGAGGGACTGGCTGCTCCTCTCAATACAGAGACTACCAAAGGAATAAAAGCAATGTCGATCACCGAACTACGATTCCCAGCGGCCCCCGCGCGGGCCTGCCCGTGGGAGGCGGTACTCGTCTCCACTCTGGGGAGCTCCGGCTTCAGGGCGGGAGGGGTTCTGGGTTCGGGCCCCGCCTCGCGCTGCTCCCTGCCGTCGCCCTCCCCCAGGGTTGTGGCCACGCGCAGCAACGGCGGTTGTTCCGCTTCCCCTCCGGCCCGGGCCGTCGCCATTGCCGAAGGCTCCCTCCCCTCCCCTCCCTGGCGGCCGCAGGGCTCCGCCGCCGCCGGGCCTAGCGGTAGCAGCGGCTGCTGCAGCGCGGCGTCTCTTCCCGCCCCGCTTCCCCTTCCCTCCCCTCCCCTCCCCGCGCCGCGCGCTGGCCCGGGGCGGCTCCGCAGCCCGCCGGGAGCTCCGACCGAGGCGCCTCGCTGGGGCGGGGACCTTGGTTCGCCTGGGGTAAGTGCACACAGGCCCGCCGGCGCGGGACGCGGGCCCGCTCTCTTCCTCCTTCCTTCTCAGCGGCCTGGCGGGCGGGAGCGGCCCGGGACGGGGAGCCGCCACCTGCGTACTGGGAGCCGCGGCTCCCGGGGCGGTGGCTCATTGTCTGCTCCCCAGAGCTGTTTTCTTCTCTGGCTTTAGCCCGAAATGGGAAGCTTGCTGGGCTGCTGAGGTCTGACTCTTCCTGGACCCAGCCCTGCCCTGAACCGTGCGGCACCACAGGCTCTGCCGACTCTCGGTCTTCCCCTCCCATGCGTTTCACCCTCTTCCTTTTCTCCGTTTTCTTAATGCTCCGGTTTTGTTCTTTGCCCTTTCCTCTCTCACTGATTCTCAGCCCCTCCTTGCTAGCTCTCTGTTCACCCCAGTTTCACTGCTCAGGAATATTTTCGCGAGTACCTTAACCGTTTTGTCAGCTCCAGTCTGTAACCTCTTTTCCACATTCCACATTTGTAAAAACGTAGAGCGTCCCGGGCTCTCGAGGGCCACTGCCTACGACCAGAACTTTCAGAGCTTCTCGCTCCTATTTGATCTTCAGCCTGGGGGTGAAAATTCGCTTGTTTAGGTAACTTAGGTGAAGTTAAGATTGGTTTTTCACCCTGTTTGGCTTTCTTTGAAACACACGCACGCACAAACATAAAACGTTGCCACAGATTTCTCTGTGGACTCAACCTTTTGACTAATTCTTTAAAGATAACCCATCCAAGAACAGAAGTGTGTCATTGTCAGTTGGTGTGAGGTTGTGCCTATCCTCGTATCTTAATTTTAATAGTAATGTTCTTGTGAGCGTGATTTGTTTTCCCTTGATAAATAACGAACTCCTGTTGATATCATTATCTCAGTTCTGCTTTACAGGTGATGTATCATTTCTTTGTTTTCTTTTTTAATCTTTATGAAAAGACAGAATGGTTAGCCCTAAAATTAGACTAGAAGAGCTGTGTTTTGGATCAAGGTTGTGCACGTCACGTTTTTTCCCCTGCTGTGTTCGACTCTTCCGCTCTTATAAGTAGGCAGGATATTGAAATGTAAAAGAATTTGCTCTGGGGGTTTTGTTTTTGTCCAAAAGAATAACACTCAATAAAGTTAGACGGGGATGAAGGCAGTGAATAGTAATTTTTAAAGCAGGTTAAAACCTGTCAATTTTGCCAGAAGCTCTGTGGCTTTTGTAAAACACACTCATGCTCGTGTATGTATGAAGAGCCTTTTTCATGTTCTGTGAGTGTGATTTCAGGCAACTTTTTCACTCTGTCATCCTCAGCTTTTAAATCTTTTGAGCTACTAATTAGCCAAGCACACTGATTTACACTTACATTAGGGAAAGTGAACCTATGATAGATGTAGGTCTTAAACCAGCTTTCTGATTTGGTAATAGAAGTTGACCTAAATTCAGTGTATTTTGTGTTTTCACTAGCCCATTGTTACCTTTCCCTCCTGCAAGGCTCTGAAAAAAGTGGCTTCAATACTCAGCTTCAATACTGCCATCGTTTATTAAATAGTAGTATCCGTTGTTTTTAACTTAATGGATGTTTTATGGCCTGAGGGATTAAGGTGTAGAAATGTTGGAGTTTGAAACTGGCTTCTCTGCCAGTTTTTTCTAAAAGGAGATATTTATATGAAGGAAGAGTTCGTGGGTATTTCACTTCCTTTGGGGCCTCGATTTATGGTTTACTATGATTCAGAGACAGTTAACTCTTCTGGACTTCATGCTATTTAATACCAACCTTGCAAACCCAAATTCAGAATGTAAGTTCATAGTTCCAGCATACAAGTGATAGGGCTCCCAAGTAGATGCGGTTAACAGTTTCTATTTCTTTTTTTTTTTTGGAGACGGCGTTTCGCTCTTGTTGCCCAGGCTGGAGTGCAGTGGCGTGATCTCGGCTTACCACAACCTAACGCCTCCCAGGTTCACGAGATTCTCCTGCCTCAGCCTCTGGAGTAGTCGGGATTACAGACATGCACCACCATTCCTGGCTAATTTTGTATTTTTAGTAGAAATGGCGTTTCTCCATGTTGGCCAGACTAGTCTCAAGCTCCAGTCTCGAGCTCCCGACCCGACCTCAGGTGATCCACCCGCATCGGCCTCCGAAAGTGCTGGGTTTACAGGTGTGAGCCACCGCGCTGGGCCAACAGTTTTCTATTACTTTTCAATTATACTTTTTAAGAGAGACAACTTAGAACTTGTTCAGGTAGCTAAGGATAGACTTTTTTTTTTTTTTAAATAGTACCTGAGGTACAAAGGATAGACCTTGAATTATACTTTTCTAAGATGTAAGAACTTCTTCAAGTAGCCAAGGATAAAACAAGTAGGTATTGTTAGATTGTTCCTATCTTTTTTTTTTTTTTTTTTTTTTGAGACGGAGTCTCGCACTGTCGCCTGGGCTGGAGTGCAGTGGTGTGATCTTGGCTCACTGCAACCTCCGCCTCCGGGATTCAAGTGATTCTCCTGCCCCAGCCTCCTGAGTGGCTGGGATTACAGGCATACACCACCACACCTGGCTAATTTTTGTAATTTTTACTAGAGATGGGGTTTCACTGTTGGCCAAGCTGGTCTTGAACTCCTGACCTCATGATCCATCCTCCTTGGCCTCCCAGAGTGCTGGGATTGCAGGCGTGAGCCACCGCACCCGGCTAGAGTCTTCCTTTTATCTATCAAAATTTATTATTATTATATTTGAGTATGACATTTCTTTTGGCTTTCTGACTTGTGCACTTCTGATTAAACTTTGAAACTGGGTCATCTTGAAGACTTTAAGTCATAAGGGTTTTGATCAGTTTGTTATCAAAAGCCCTTTCCAGTTTTAAGAGTTAAGTTTCCAGACTAATCAGAGGGAGGGTGTCAGTTGCAAATTAGGTGTCTGAACTCTTCCTAGTATCCTTTTTGTGCCTTAACAAAGCAGAAGAGGGAAGGAAAAAATAATCCTCATTGCCCCTAAGAAATAAAATACTGATTGTCTTCTTCTGTGATCAGAGTTGAGTTTTGCATCACTTCTAGGATCACCCACCTGGCTGAGGGTAGTCAGTCTGAACATTCATTCAGGATTTCAGTGTTCTAGCCTACCGTCTCTGAGTTACTTTAGTACTTACTCCATGTGTCACAGGTGGTTAGGAGCTAGAGTCCTGGTTTTGAGATGTTCTACTTTACCCTGGGCAAGATACACATTTTTTCTTTTTCTTTTCTTTTGAGATGGAGTCTCATTCTGTCACCCAGGCTGGAGTGCAGTAGCACAATCTCAGCTCATTGCAACCTCCGCTTCCTGGGTTCAAGAGATTCTGCTGCCTCAGCCTCCCAAGTAGCTGGGACTAGCTTTTTGTATTTTTAGTAGAGATGAGGTTTTGCCATATTAGCTAGGGATGGTCTCCATCTCCTGACTTCATGACCACTCACCTCTCCCTCCCAAAGTGCTGGAATTACAGGTGTGAGCCACTGCACCCGACCAAAATATGCATTTTTTCAAGACTTGCTTTTCTCATCTGCAAGATGGGTATTATAATAATAAACATAATACTGATTTCATAGCGGTATTTAGATCAAATGAGAGAATGCAGGTAAAGTATTCTGTAAGTATAGTTCTTAATAAATGTTAGTTAAAATCAGCTTAGTTTCAGCTGGCAGAGGGAACCATCGTAACAGACTAGAACGGTGGTTTTGTTCCTTATTTTAAATTTAAATTTTAAAAGCAGTACACATTTATTATGAAAGGTTCAAACAAGTCAATTAAATATTTAAAGAGTGAAAATTCCAGCACTTTGGGAGGCTGAGGCAGGAGGATCACCTGAGCCCAAGAGTTGGAGGTACAGTGAGCTATGATTGCACCACTGCATTCCAGCCTGGGTGACAGAATAAGACCCTGTCTTATAAAATTTTTAAAAAGTGAAAATTACTGTCTTCACTTTTCAGTCCCATACCTTAAAAGTACCTACCCACTGTTAATAGTTTTACTTAATAAATTAGAAATAATTACCTATGTGTGTCAGATACTTTTGTTGTTGTTTTGAGATGGAGTCTCACCCTGTCACCCAGACTGGAGTCCAGTGGCGTGATCTCGGCTCACTGCAACCTCCACCTCTCGGGTTCAAACAAGTCTCCTGCCTCAGCCTCCTGAGTAGCTGGGATTACTACTCAGGGTACAGGTGCCTGCCACCATGCCCAGCTAATTTTTGTATTTTTAGTAGAGACAGGGTTTCACCATGTTGGCCAGGCTGATCTCCAACTCCTGACCTCGTGATCCGCCCTCCTCGGCCTCCCAAAGTGTTGGGATTACAGGTGTGAGCCATCTTGCCTGGCCTGAATACTTTTTATGTTGATTTTAAAATAAAAAATCGGATCATTATATGTTTTTTTAATCTCATTATGTATAGTGGCACCTCATCTTTTTAAGTCATAAGATAGTACATTGCATAGTAGTACCAATTATTTGTGGTCATTTATGTTTCTAATTTTGAGCAACTAAAACTAGAGCCATAATGAAATTCGTTATATGTACGTCTGTGTGCACATGCATATGTATACAAGTATTTTCATAACGATATGTAAGTGTGTGTTTAAATTTCTTTTTACTCTTTTTTTGAATTGCCTTCCAAAAAGATTTTACCAATCTGTATTTCCTTATTGAATTATAGAAGCTCTTCACATGTAGTAGATATTAACCTGTAGCCTTCTGTTTAAGAACTTCCTCATTCCACCTTTACAAAAAACATTCTTACGTGTTTTCTTCTGGTACTTTTGATAATTATTGTTTCAATTTTTTTTTTTGGTGGAGGGTACATAGTCTCGCTCTGTGACCCAGGCTGGAGTACAGTGATGCAGTTTCAGCTCACTGCAACTTCCACCTCCCGAGTTCAAGGGATTCTCATGCCTCAGCCTCCCCAGTAGCTGGGATTACATATAGGCACCACCATGCCCGGCTAATTTTTTGTGTTTTTAGTAGAGATGGGGTTTCACTAATTTGGCTAGGCTGGTC